CGGCCTCGCACTGCCACACGGCCGTGGTGTACAGGCCGAAGGTGGGGTCCAGCTCGGCCAGGTGCGGCTCGTAGGGGCAGCGGTGCTTGTGGTCCTCGTACCAGATCACCACGTTCTTCAGGCAGTTCACGTTGCGGCGCCGCCCTGTGGACACGGGGCGGGGTGAGGTGGGGCAGCCGCTGAGCCGGGCCTGCGCCCACTTTACAGGGGGGGAAACTGAGGCTGGGGGGGGGCTCGGAGCCGGTGCCTCGCAGGGGAGCAGGCTTGCTACTGTCATTCTCACCCCTGGCCCCGACCAGCCACCTGGCTGCAGCCCTCAGCCCCTAGCCCTGTCTGTCCCCTGCAGCTGCCCGTGTGACCCAGAGGCAGGTCCTCTTCCTCCCGGGCTCGGGACCCACCCGGCTCGCGGCCCACAAGGCTCTCGCACCGCCTCCTCCCACTCTCCGTCTCTTGCCTCCGGCCACGTGGCCTCATGGCTCACCTTCCTCAAGCAAGGGGGGGGGGCTTGCCGCAGGGCCTTTGCACAGGCTCTGCCCCCGCTCCCTCCCCTTCACCCAGGCCTCCCCGCCCAGGAGCCCTCCCCCAGGGGCCACCTGTCCCCCGGGCACTGCTGCTGTCCTCATTCCCCAGCAGCGCCTGGACACCACCTGTGGTTATTTGGTCCCGGCGGCTCCCCAGGAGCAGGGATGTCCTGCCCACTGTGCCCCTGTGTCCCTCGTGCTGCCAGGGGGCCTGGCAGAGCAGGGGCTGCAGAGGGGTGGGCGTGGTGAGGCCGGCCTGCTTCCAGCTGGTAGCTTCCTCCCTTGCCCCCCCCACCTCCCCCGGGGCTGCAGCTCCACTCACTTTTCTTCCGCTTTGGCTTTTTGGGGACTTGCTCCCAAGGCTTCCTGCAACAGAGAGAGGCGGTGAGGGCGGAGGGAGGGCTTGCTCTGCTCTGGGAGGGGTCTGAGCGCCCGCTTGCCTGTCCCCCCCCCCAGCAGCAGTAGCAGCAGCACTGACACCAGGGCGTCACCCATCTGTCTCGCAGAGCAGGTGACACCGCATGCCCTGGGTCCCCGCGGTCGGCGACTGGAGACGGCAGGAAAGGGGGGCTGGGGTGGGCATGGGGCTGCTCGGGCGCCCACATCCCACCTCGGGGGGCCCGGGTTCCAGCTCCCCGCTCACCCTGGGCGGCAGCAGTGAGGGTCCCTGCTTCCCACCTGGGAGGCCCAGGTGCAGCTCCTGGCTTAGCCCTGGCACGTGTGGAGAATGGACCAAATTCTTAACTTACAAATTTAAAAGAGAGGGTATGGAAAGCCAGGGTGGCAGGTGGAATTCCAAGACGGCCCCTACACCTACTATGCCCCGGCGATGCTCCTATCTGCACCTGTGGGTCCAACCAATCACAGGCCACGGATGTTAAAAAAAAAAAAAACAAACCAAAACCCTGCATCTGTTAGTGACCATGCACAAACCTCGTGTTCTTGAGATGACTCCCCAGGCGGCAGAGCGCGGCAGCCACGCACACTGCCCTGACCCTGACGGGGCAGAGGTGGGCTCCATGCAAACGCTACTGTTCCATACAAGGACCCGGGGAGCCGCAGACCCCCGAGGACACAGAGGGATGACCAGGAATCGTTTGGCTCCCACTGCATCAAGCACAGCCTGGTCCCAGCAGGGGCTCTTTAGAACAGCTGTGGGGAGCCAGCGCGTGGCCGTGGCCGTGGCCGCGGCCGTGCCGCAGTGGGTCAAGCCGCCGCCTGTGACGTGGCCATCTGAATCCCGGCTGCTCCACTTCCTATCCGGCTCCCTGCTGATGCGCCTGGGAAGGCAGTGACAGATGGTCCAAGGGTTCGGGCCCCTGCCACGCCCATGGAGGCCGGGATGGAGCTCCGGGCTCCGGGCTCCAACCTGGCAAATTACAGCCATCTGAGGAGTAAGTCAGCCGAAGGCAGACCTCCACCTCCCTCTCTGCCTTTCAAACAGGCAGTGGGGAGCTGAAGGGCGGGGGCCTGGCCCACGAGGCAGGGACACAGAGCAGCCTCTAGGGTTGGGCAGTCCTGGCCCTGGGCTCTACCGTTGGCCAGTGCTGTGGTCTCAGCCCCACGGGGCCCTGAGGGAGGACCCGGCGGGAGAACGTGCTGGGCTCCTGACCAGACTCGCGAGACGAGAGCCGCGTGTGGGTTTCGGGTCCTGTGCTCCCCAGGAAGAGGAAGCCCACAGAGCCGCCTCAGCTCCTGCGCGGCCCCCACCCCAGCAAGCCCCGCCCCAGGTCCTGCCCGTCAGACCCTAAGCGCCTGCAGGCCAGCCGGGCCCAGCCAAACACCTGCGCTCTGGGGCCGCCCTGCCCCACGCCCAGCGCCCCGACCTCGTGTCTGAGGCAGGCAAGGCCCAGGCGAGCCTAGGACCAGGCTGGGGGCACTGCCTGACCTCCTGCCTCAACACAGCTGCAGGATCTGCTGGGCGGGGGGGAGGGGCGCCTGACCCTTCGTTGGCCACCCAGCGCCACCTGCACCTACCCTGCTCTGCCTCCCTGTCCCTCCTGTCACCCAGCCTGGCTCTTCCTCTCCGGTGCCACGGCAGCAGGCTCCGTGACCGCGGACACATGACCACACCGCCCCGTGCCTCAGTGTCCCCATCTGCAGTGTGGGACCATGACAGCCTTCCTGGTCTGCCAGCCCCACCCTCGTCTCAGTGCACAGGTGAGTATGACCCTCAATGTTCCTCTTTGTTGTTCGCGGTTTTAACTGTGGCCAAATATTCAGACACACACAGAGAACCAGAGAGCAGGGCGAGCGAGTCCCCGCGGCCGTCACCAGCCCTGATGGGTAGCGAGCCCTGGGCAGCCGTGTTTGAATCACACCCCGCCCACACCTCCTGCTGCCGTGGACATATGAGCCCGCCCGCGAGTGGGCGTCTGCAGGGCAATGGCAATGCGTCCCACACTGGAGTGCTTGGGTTCAAGTCCCGGCTCCACTCCTGACTCCAGCCTTGTGCCCGCGTGCACGCTGGGAGGCAGCAGGTGACGGCTCCTACAGTGGGGTCCCTGCCGACCACGTGAGAGCCCCGAATTTGCCTCAGCCTAGCCTAGCCCTGGCGCGCAAGGCATCTGGGGGAGTAAACCAGTGTATGGAAGACCTCTCTCTTTCTTCAAACAAATAAATAAAAGCGCAAACCACTCCTATGTTCAAAATCCTGCACTGAAGAAAAACGAGCATTCCTGCCGGGGCCCCCACCTCGCCAGGCGGCAGTGCCCGAGTCTCCCACCCTCCGCCCTCACTCATTGCACCCAGGCACGCAGGCCGCCCCTGGTGCCCACCAGGGTGCTGCCTCAGGGCCTTTGCACGGGCTGTCCTCCCCTACCCCGTAGATGTGCGCAGCTTCCTTGGCCTCCTGGGGGTCTCGGCGCCGTGGCCCACGCTGCAGCCCTGTCTAAACTCACTGCTGACCCCGCTCTCCCTAAACAGTGAGCTTCTCCTTTGCTCCCCGCCGTGCTGGCTCAGTTACTCCTGTTTCTTGTCTGCCATAGACACGGCTCTGCCCAAGCCATCCCCGCTGCCCACGAGAGCGCCAGGCTGGCCCTCCCAGCGAGGGGGCGGCTGTAACCCAGGGAGATCTGGCTGTGGCTGGACCCTCAGGCCAGACCAAGGACTTCCAAGCAGCACCTGCCTGCAAGAGGGGAAGACCTGTCCATCAGCGACCGCTAAGTGGGGGCTCCCCAGGCACCGTCCTTAACTCCCCTCATCGCCACAGCTACGGCGGGGAAGGGAAACTCCACCAACGCTACCCCACCCTTTGCGAAGGCCTCCGGCCGCTCCGTGACCTGCTGTTCCCAGGACAGCCTCCCCAGGGGCCAGGAGGCCAGGGGACTGCGGCCCAAGCCGCGAGCGGTGCGTGCCGCCGGGATGGCGGGGTACAGCCACACGCAGCAGCCCCTGCCGGGGCGCGGCTCGGTGGCCCCCCCAGTGTCCAAAGTCCCAGGCCAGACGTGGGGGCTTCGACGGACACACCGGTGAGACGCTAGGGTCCGGCAGGTACGCAGGCGACTGAGGCCAGGGGGCGGGGCCGCCCCTCCGGGGATTGGGTAACTAGAACGCCTGGAGGCCGGGCCAGCCCCAGGATTGGGCAGCCAGAGCCCACGGGGGCGGGGCCGAGAGCCCGGGCGCACGCTGGGATTGGGCGGTCGGAGCGGCAGGAGGCGTGGCCTCGGGCCAGGCGCGTCCCCGGCCCCGCAGCCCCAGACCCGGGCCGGCAGCGGGGCCCCTGGGCGGGGCTCACAGGTGCGGGGGCGGGGCCTCGGGCCGGAGGGGGCGGGGCCGGGCGGCGGGGCTGGGGGCGTCTCCTCCCTCGCTCCCTCCCTCCCTCCCTCGGGCCGGGCCCCCTCACCCGTGGCGGCCGCTACGCTGGCCGCGCTCCAGCGAGATGAGGTAGGCGGCGAGCTTGGCGTCGCTCCAGCCGCTGCGGCGCCGCAGGTCCACCCAGGGCCCGTGCGCCTCGCCCAGGTACACGCGCCGCACGTCGTACTTCTTCCGGGACTCGAGCCGCCGCCGGGCCCGGTCCGACTCCGTGAGCCGCGGCCGGCCCCGCGCCTTGCGGCCCGCCGCGCCCTCCTCGGCCGCCGCCTCCCCGCCTGCGCCCGCCTCAGCCTCCGCCTCCGCCTCGGGCTCCGGCGCCCGCTCCGCCATCCCCCCCACCCTGGTTACCAGCCTCCCCCGTTGTTAGGAGCCCGGCCGGAAGTGGCGCGCATGTTCCGCGCCGCCGGGATATTTCTCACGGACTCACTGCCCCGCGGCGCCAAAAGGAGACCGAGAGCGGAACCTGCGCATGCGCCCAACCCACTCTCCCCTTTCTACCGGCTTCTTCTGTTAAGCTTCTTAACCTCGCTTAGCGAAGCTGACTGAGGGTCTTGGCCAGCCCCGAGAAGGGCCAGCCCGAGGTCCCTGGGCCCACAGACCCTTGGGGCTCGCCGCCCCATCAGTGGCTACCCGGGGAGGGGAAGCCGCGGGAGAGAGGAGGGAGGGTGGCCCGGACCGGAGAGGTTTATTCGCTGTGCACGCCGAGCTCATCACACCAGTCCACAGCCAGCTCAGCCCTGGCCCTGCTGCTGTCGCTGCGGGACCTCCTCTTCCTCCTGGGACTCGGGGCGCGGCGGGGGCGGCTCCTCCATTCCCGAGGACGTCAGGAGCTCCCCGGCGGACCCTGCCAGGCGGAACACCACGGGGATCCGGGCCAGCGCTGGGTTGGTCTCCTGCAGACCCTGGATCCACTTGGCCAGTGTCGCCTGGTCGTGCGCGCCCGCTATGCACATGGCGAAGATGGGGCCTTCCTCCACTGTTGGGAGAGAGGCGCGCTCAGAGCTAGGGCGGCGGCGGCGGCGGCGGCGGCGGCGGCTGCCCTGCGCCCATGACCCTTTAAGGTCCTCTGCCCCCCGACCTTTGCAAAGCACCCCCGGGCATCACCTCCTGGGCCTCCCAGCCCTGGCCGGGGAGTCCCCCTGAGCCCCACTGGAGGCCGGCTGCCTGCTCTCCCGGGCCTCCCGGAGTGCAGCCTGCCTTTTGTCCCGGGGTTACCAGGCCCGCACAGAGGGGCTCCACGGATGTGGGAAGGAAGGGGAGAGGGCTCCTGGGCTCAGGAAGCTGCCCGAGGGGCGGCTGGAGTCCCGGTGTTACCTTCGTTGATGTCAAACTCAGAGTCGTCCCAGGCACTCCTGGCGTACTCCAGGTCCAGCTGCATTGGGTAGAAGAGACTCCACTCCTCCGGCACCTCCTCCACGTCCTACCCCAGGGAGTAAGGTGCGGGCAGCCTCAGAGGCCGCGCCCTGCAGCCCCCGCCTCCCAGTGCCTCCCACGAGCCCCAGGGAGCCCAGGCTGGCAGGCTCGGGACCTCACCCTCTCCTCGGGGGGCAGCAAGTCAGCCCTGAGGATGTGGTAGTAGACACACTTGTCCCGCAGCCACAGGGAGAAGGGGCCCTCCACGAAGATGGGCCGGGCTGGGTTGTGGCGGGCCAGGGCGGCCTGCTGATCGGGGCTCTGGATTCCTGCGGAGGAGACAGGAGTGCCTGGTGTTGGCTCAGGGGCTCTGCCCAAGGGCCCGCGGAGCCCACCGCCCAGCAGGCCCAGGGGGAACCAGGTCAGAGCCTTACCCACAATGTGGGGCTGGGCGGGCTCCTCGGGGCTTGCTGGGTCGCTGGGCAAAGACATCTGCAAGGAAGGGTTGGGGAGGAAGCTCCTGAGCCCACAACCCCTGCAGAGAAGCTGGAGACGGGGGCGGGGGTGGGGGTGTCCCAGCAAGTGCAGAACCCGCGCCCTGGGCCTGCCTCCTCCACGTCTCTCAAACCCGCCCCCCTTCTATCCAGTGGCAATACCAGCAGCCCACAGCTAGACTGAAGGGTGGCTGGCTGGTGCCGGGGCTGGGAGACCTGCACCCCTAATCGGAGTGCCGGGGTTCCAGCCCCAGACCCTCGAAGGCGGCAGGGGACGGGGCAAGTGCTGGGGGCTTCGGCCTGGCCCAGCCCCAGCTGTGGTGGGCATCTGGGGGGCGAATCCACGGGTGCCTCTGGCTCTCGCCGACGAAAGCAAAGCAGCTGTGGCGGGAAGGCGGCAGAGGGCTCGCCGCGCCAGCACTCTCGGGAGGCACGCGGGGCGAATCCCAGCGCGGGGCAGAGCGCGTACCTGGTAGACGGTGACCCTGGCGCTGAGGTCGGGCTCCATGTGCCGCAAGCCCAGCTTGGCCAGGTCCACGGGGTCGGGGGGCAGGTGGAGGGGCACGGGGAAGGGGTTGACGTTCTTGAAGCGGGTGAGCCACAGCTTCATGCGCACCAGCTTCAGCATGGGGTAGCTCCTGCGCCCGAAAATCTGCGTGAGCAGGAACTCCGTCTGCGTGTCGGGCATCACCCCTGCGCCGGGGAAGGGAGGGAGCTGTGGGGTCCGCGCGCAGACCCCGGGCAGGGAGCGAGCTGTGGGGTCCGCGCGCAGACCCCGGGCAGGGAGCGAGCTGTGGGGTCCGCGCGCAGACCCCGGGCAGGGAGCGAGCTGTGGGGTCCGCGCGCAGACCCCGGGCAGGGAGCCTGGCCCCGGGAGGCAGGGGCGGCCGCCTCACCATGCTGCTCCATCTGCTCCAGCACGGCGACGCCGCACTCCTGCTGCCGCGGGTAGTGTACGAACATGCGCTGGAAGACGTTGCGCGGCCGGAAGACCTCCTTGGGGAAGACGTCCAGCAGCAGGTTGTAGACGGCCAGGTCCCGCTGCACGCCGAACTCCCGCATCTTGCGCAGCGCCAGGTAGATGAAGTCCACGTGGCCGCGCCTGCGCACATCCTGCTGCCCGAAGCACTGCACTGCCCGCACGAAGCTGGCCTTGTCGCGCTCCCCGCCCGGCGCCTGCTTGAACAGCTCCTCGTGGGGCTCCAGGACCTTGACGGGCCTGCGTTGGGACTCGGGTGGGCTGGGGACCAGCGACAGGTCGGAGCTGCAGGCCGCCGCGCTGCGGTGGAGGCCCCGCAGGGCCAGGGCCGCGACCTGGGGAAGGGACGCGGGTTGGAGCCTGGCAGGCCGGCTTCCGCTGGGGAGTTGGTGGCAGGTGTATCCCGCCCGGAAGGCCGGTGCTGTGGTTACCAACCCAAGGGGGCTGGCGTGGGGCTGGGGGAGGGCAATGCCGGGGCGGCCATCTGGGGATAAGCGCACACGCGTCCCTGACAGCTGTAAGCACATCTGGGCCACGCAGCTCTGCTACAAAGGGGTCCACTGCAGTGGGCTCCCACCAGGGACATCTTCCAAAGGCAAGGAAGGGGCGGGGGCAGCGCAAGGGCCGCGGACCTGGCCGGGGGCTGTGTGCACACCCAGGAGAGCTCGGGGCGCCTGTGTTTGCCTGTAAGCAGCCCGGGGCGGTCAGCCAGAGCGACGCCGGGATCCAAGAACTCCATCAGGTACCTCCCGGGCTGCCCCTTTGTAGGAAGCTGGACCCACACCGGGCCCTCAGTATGAGATACGCTGCCCGCTCCCCCGTTGGAGCCTGGGTTCCAGATGCAGCTCTGCGTGAGGCCAGTGCCATGTGCATGCGCACCCTGGGAGGCAGCAGGGAGGACGGCCCAAGCACCCGGGTGCCCGCCACCCCCGCGGGAGACGCAGACCAGCCGAGCCAGGCCTTGCTCCTTCCGCTCCCCAGACGCCCGGCTGGTGTTACCTGTGAGAAGGGGGCTCCCCTGAGGGCGGCCCCGCACAGGCCTCCCCAGCCCCTGGAGAGGCCTCGGGCCAGCAGGGCGGCTTGGGCCCAGCTCATGCCTCTGCTCCTAACAGGACCTGGTCGAGAAACGAGAGACAGCATCAGCCTGGTGGGCAGACGGGACCCTGCGTGCGAGGGCTCGTCCCAGGCCCTGTGGCCAAACCCGGGCCCCCTCACCACTTCCTCCAGCCCCAAGGATTGCTCACCCACGGCAGACGAAGGCGACCTTGCAATCCATGGCGGGGGGGGGGGGGGGGGGGGGGGCTGCTGCTGGGCCAAACCCTTCAATAACTTCAGGAATTTGCTCCCTCTCCCTACATCATTCTTCTTTTTAAAGATTTATTTATTTACTTATTTGAAAGGCAGAGTTAGAGAGAGAGGTCTTCCATCAGCTGGTTCACTCCCCTAATAGAAGCAATGACCAGAGCTGGGCCGATCCGGAGCCAGCAGCCAGGAGCTCCATCCGGGTCTCCCACGCAGGTGCAGGGGCCCAAGCGCTTGCCCCATCCTCCACTGCTTTCCCAGGCCACAGCAGAGAGCTGGATCGGAAGTGGAGCAGCTGGGACCTGAACCAGCACCCAGATGGGAGGCTGGTGCTGCAGACCACGGCTTAGCCTGCTGTGCCACAGTGCCGGCCCCGTTTTAAAAGTTTTACTCATATACTATAAAGCTCACCCTTTAAAGAACAAATAAAATTGTGGGGCTTTTTTCTTTTTTAAGATTTTATTTATTCATTTGCGAGGTAGAGCTATAGACAGTGAGTGGAGAGGCAGAGAGAGAGAGAGGTCTTCTGTCCGTTGGTTCACTCCGAAATGGCTGCAATGACTGGAGCTGTGCTGATCCGAAGCCAGGAGCCAGGAGCTGCTTCTGGGTCTTCCACGCAGGAGCAGGGGCCCAAGCACTTGGGCCATCTTCCACTGCCTTCCTGGGCCACAGCAGAGAGCTGGACCAGAAGAGGAGCAGCTGGGACTCAAACTAGTGCCCACATAGGATGCCGGCGCCGCAGGCGGAGGATTCATCTACTGAGCCACGTGTGGTCGGCGTTATACAACCAACAAAGATCTTTGTGATTTTTTAAAAAGTGTTTATTTGAAAGGAAGATTTAAACAAATGATTATTTGACAGGAAGAGCAAGAGAGAGACAGCGGGAGCTATCTTCCATCCACAGGCTGACTTCAAATACCTGCAACGACCAGGGCCAGGCCAGGCTAAAACTGAAGCCAGGAAGCCATATCCCAGTCGGTGGCGGGGCCCCAGCTACGCAGGCCGCCTTCTGCTGTCTTCCCAGGCGCGTTCACAAGCCGGGTCGCGAGAGGAACAGGCAGGACTCGAACCGGCGCCCCTGGACGGGATGCTGGTGTCGCAGGGCCTCTGAACCACGGCCACGGTGCCCTCGTGCCTCTGAACTGCTCGAAGGATGCCATCGCTTGGTGACTGCGTTTCCCTTACCCCTCCTCACTTGGCAGGCAGTGGGGGTACCGCTGGCACGTCCGTGGACGTCCGTGTGTGAGCTTCGGTGCGAACACGAGACCCTGCTTTTCCCGAGACGGACGGGAGGACACAGGCTCCCTGAACCGCTACCGTCTGTGGAACGGCAAGACTCCGGCCTGGCTGTGACACGCGCCCAGAATCCTCCCAGGAGGCGCACGGGCTCCGTTTCCCCGCGTCCTCCTCACTGCTCGGCCGGACGCGGCTCCTCGTGTTCTGGATTTGTATTTTCCCAATGAATGGACTGGGCGTCCTTCCATGCACTCGCTGACCGGTGTGAAGGAGAAATGTCTACTTCAGTCCTTGTCCATTTAAAAAACTGGGATAGTTATCTTTTTTAAGAGTTCTTTTAGGTCTGGTGTTGTGGCATAGCGGGTTAAGCCGCCGCCTGCAATGCTGGCATCCCATATGGGCACTGGTTCGAATCCTGGCTGCTCCGCTTCCAATCCAGCTCCCTGCTAATGCGCCTGGGAAAGCAGCAGAAGATGGCCCGAGTCCTTGGGCCCCTGCACCCACGCGAGAGACCTGGAGGAAGCTCCTGGCTCCTGGTTTTGGCCTGGCCCAGCCTTGGCCTTTACAGCCATTTGGGGAGCGAACCAGCAGATGGAAGACCTCTTGGTAACTCTGCCTTTTGAATAAATAAATACATGTTTAAAAAAAACACACAAGAATTCTTTTATATTCTGGGTACCAAGCCCTGTGACTCACAACTAGTTTCTCCATTCTGTGGGTTGCCTTTTGTCCCCCTGATGTTATCATGCGCACTGTGTCCAGTTTGCCTTTACTCCCCTAGTGGTTGTGTTTTTGCCCAGCCCATGCTCACGAGGACTTGCGGCTGTTTTCTAAAGGACTTGTGGCACTTCCCCCCACCCCCCCAGCTTTTGTTGAGATCCTGGAGGCCTGACCAGACTTCTCCACTCCTCCCAATGCAAATGGAAAAACAGATAAGCTGCACAGGGCAGCTATGAAACTGATAAGGGCGAAATTCCCAGAGACTTCATTTTTTTTAAAAATATTTATTTATTTGAAAGGCAGAGATACAGAGAGGCAGAGAGAGAGAGAGAGAGAGAGAGAGAGAGAGAGAGAGAGGCCTTCCGTCCGCTGCTTCACTCCCCAATTGGCTGCAACTGCGCTGACCCAAAGCCAGGAGCCAGGAGCTTCTTCTGGGTCTCCCATGTGGGTGCAGAGGCCCAAGGACTTGGGCCATCCTCCACTGCTTTCCCAGGCCATAGCAGAGAGCTGGATGGGAAGTGGAGCCGCCAGGACTCAAACCAGCACCCATATGGGATGCTGGCTCTGCAGGAGGCGGCTTCACCGCTACACCACAGCGCCAGGACTTCAAAGAGCCCCCTACTCTTCTGCCAGCTGCCTTCTACACCCCCACCCCACCCCGTGGCAAATTCCCTCTTAACTGGGTAAAACTGGAGTCCCAAATGTGCCCAGTGTGTTGTCTCTTCACAAGAAGTCTGTTGCCAACCTCTTTGCTTCCAATAAAGCAACCTGTCTCTGTTGAGGTCGGTCTCCGTCTCCTTTTTCTGCCTCTCCTTTCTGGGGGTACCAAAGACCAGAACCCCGAGCTATCCCAGACCTAACATTTTCTCCTGAGACTCACAGCACCTGCGCCTGCGCCTACGTCTGTGATCTAGCTGGGATACCACGTACGGTGTGAGGGGAGGGTTCACGTCGCCTGGGTGTCTGCAGGGTGTAGCTGGACCTATGAGGCGAGCGGCCCTCACCCTTGGCGCCCTCCCTGAGTATAAATCTAAGAGACGACCTCTGCGCCCCCAGCTCTCTCCTGCCGAGTCTTGGGCCAGGACTGCCCTGTTTTGATTACTGTAGCTCTGTGGTAGGCTTTGACATCAGACACTTTTGAGTCTTCAGACTCCATTCTACTTCATGGTTGCTTTGGCTATTCCCGGCCCCGCACAATTCAATATCAACCTGAGGGCTGGCGCTGTGGCGCTGGAGGAGTGTTAGGCAGGAAGTCAGAGATGTAGCCTGTGTGTGTGTGTGTGAGACAGGCCTGAAGCCCAGCATTTTGGACTTCGATGTCCGGCTCAGACCCTGATAACCTCCCAGGTGGTCCCAGCCCTTCCCCCCAGGAAAGCTCCCAGAATTCTCTCTCAGGACCTGATAACACGGGGCAATAAAACCTTCTTGGACGCCCTAGGGGAAGCCCCTCTACTCTACCCAGCACCAGCAAATCTGGGGAGGAATTTGCTCATTTTCACCCAACAAACCCTCCCCTAGGACTCGGGGGTAAACAGGCTCCCTTACACACCTGGGGAGTCCAAACAGGCGGCGGCTCAGAGGCACTGCGTCCTCTGCCTCTCCTCTCGGCTCAGCCGCCAGCCTTTTCTCCGGTGACGGCAGGCTAAGCCTCTGCCTGTGGCACCAGCAGGTATCCCATATGGGTGCCGGTTCAAGTCCCGGCTGCTCCTCTTCCAATCCAGCTCTCTGCTGTGGCCTGGGAAAGCAGTGGACGATGGCCCAAGTGCTTGGGCCCCTGCACCCATGTGGGAGACCAGGAAGAAGCTCCTGGCTCCTGGCTTTGGATCAGCCCAGTCCTGGCCATTGCAGCATTTGGGGAGTGAACCAGCAGATGGAAGATCTTTGTCTCCGTTTCTCCCTCTCTGTAACTCTACCTTTCAAATAAATAAATAAATAAGTCTTTTAAAAAAATCAACTTGATAATCAGCTGTCAATTTCTGCAAAAATGCCAGCTCTGGACACTTTAGCTCAATGTGGAGATTACGGGTATCTGGACAGTACTATCCTGTGACCCATGAACACAGTCTATTTAAGACTTCTGTATCTCAACAGTGGATTTTAATTTTCAATGTTTAAGTCCTTAAATAACTTTTAGTCTTTTTTTTTTTTTTTTTAAGATTTATTTATTTGAAAGGCAGAGTTACAGAGAGGCAGAGGTAGAGAGAGAAGTCTTCCATCCAATGGTTCACACTCCAGATGGCCACAACGGCCGGAGCTGCACCAATCCGAAGCCAGGAGGTAGGAGGTTTCTCCAAGTTTCCCACGTGGGTGCAGGGGCCCAAGGACTTGGGCCATCTTCCACTGCTTTCCTAGGGCGTTAGCAGGGAGCTGGATCAGAAGTGGAGCAGCCGGGACTTGAACCGACACCCATATGGGATGCCGGCACTGCAGGCGGCACCTTACCCGCTACGCCACAGCGCCGACCCCTAAATAATTTAGTCTTAATTATTTTATTCTTCAATAAGACATGGAACTGTCTTAATGTTATCTTTGCATTGGTCACTGCTAGTGGACAGAATTTGAGTCTACGCTGTGTCCTGGAAGCGGGCTGAGTGTGTTGGCTAGTGAACGTGTTTCCCATGGACCTGCGGGGATTGTCCACACGGGACACAGCACTGCACAGAGGCTGCCCTCCTCCCCTCGTGGTCTGCCCGCCTTCCCTTTCTTCTTCCTCTCTGCAGCCTCCAGCACCACGAGGAGCAGAGGTGCTGAGCACAGCCTCCCCGGAGCACCGGGCCCTCAGGGGCGCGCCCGGCGTCAGCCGGGGGCTCCTGGGGCTGGGGAAGACCCCTCCCCTGCCGGTGAGTGCTTTCATCAGGAGGGCTACTGCATTTTGTCCCTCGCTCTGCTGGCACGCGGAGCCTGTGAGCTGGTTTTCAGGTGTCAACCTAACCTTACGTCCCTAACGTAAATGCCCTGTGGTCGTGCGACGCTGGCACCCGCGCCCCTCACAGGCTGGGCCTGCGTCTCCCCGCAGCGTCTGTGTGGCCGGGCCACCGGGCTAGCGAGCGCTGGCTTCCACAGAATGAACCGGGAAGTTTCCAGACCCTGTCTGTCACCATTTAAGCCCTCTCTGGTGGCTCCCACCTTGGCCCAGGCCCCCTCTAACTCCTGCTCCACCTCTCTGACGTCTACGTGGGGGCGGCACTGTGGCAGAGCGGGGGCGGCTGCAGCCTGTGTGGGCGCTGGGTCAGGCTCTGGCTGCTCCACTTGCGGTCCAGCTCCCTGCTGACTTGGAAAAGCAGCAGAAGGCAGCCTGGGTGCTTTGGCCTGGCCTGGCCCTTGGGTCTCGAGGACATTTGGAGAGTGATCTAACAGGGGAAATTCTCCCTCCCCCTCCCCTCCCCCTCTCAAGGTGGAAGTTCTCCCTCCCTCTCCCTCTCCCTCTCCCTCTCTCACGCACTCTGCATCTGCCTGCCTGCTACCCTGAGGTATCATTCAATGTGTTGCTCTCTCCATTCCTGGATACAGCTCTGGGTTTATGTTTCCGTTTCCCTGACCTGAACTGGCTTCACTTTTAATTCTGAACTGGACACCACTTCATGCCATAGAAGAGAAACAAGTCTTCCCTAGTGGTTCTTAAAGTCTGCTCCCTTTAGACTCATTTTGGGAGCCCTGAAAAATCCCCAAACCCGGGCCACATTCAGATATGCAGACTGTCTGGAGGGGGGCCCAGGCATCAGGATTTTATTTTTTTAATTATGTACTTGAAAGGCAGAATGGGAGAGAGAGAGAGAGAGAGAGAGAGAGATCAATTGATCGTTCTTGCATCCACTGGTTCTCACTGCCCCAAATGCCTACAAAAGCCAGGAGCTCAGAACTGTGTCGGGGCCTCCGGCGTGGATCGCAGGGACTCAAGTACTTCAGCCCTTCTCTGCCCCCTCCCAGGATGTGCACAACCAGCAGGAAGCGGGACCAGAAGCAGAGCAGCCCGGACTGGAGCCAGGCACCCCCGTGTGGGACGCTGGCGCCCCCAAGGCAGCAGCGACACCTGCAGCACCATAGCTGCCCAGGCAGCAGCATTTAAAGCACCCTAATGGCCCTAATATGCAGCTGGGGTTGAAGCCTGACTCCACAGCCTGGTAGGCAAGCCCTGGGTTGGGACACTGCCATCCCATAAGCCAGTGCGTGGGCTTGCGTCCCAGCTCTGCTCACGATCCCAGCTTCCTGTTAAAACCCTGGGAGGCAGGGTTACCAGAAACACAAAATCCTGGCCCTGACCCAGCCACGTGGCGACAGCTCCCACACTGACCCGCCCCTCTGGCACGCACCCGGCCGTCTCACCCTCGAACTAGCTCCAAACGGACACGCCAGCGCGAACGTGTTCCTCTGGCTCCAAGCCAAGGGCACCACCACTGCCAGTGGCTCAGGGCACACGCTGAGGAGTCAGTTCAGAGTGCCCTGCCCCTACCCACACAATCCATCAACCGACCCGGGTGACCAGCTGCAAAGGCACCCATTTTTCCCCCTCTACAATCTATGAGCTCCTGCCCTTATGAGCTTCTCGCCAGTTCTCCCCATGGAGGAGGCTTTTAAAAATATTCATTTTGGGGCCGGAACTGTGGCGTAGCAGCTCAAGCCGCTGCCTGCAGCACTGGCATCCCATGCGGTCACAGGTTCAAGTCCCAGCTGCTCCACTTCCCATCCAGTTCTCTGCTGTGGCCTGGGAAAGCAGTGGAAGATGGCCCAAGTCCTTGGGCCCCTGCACCTGCGTGGGAGACATGAAGAAGCTCCTGGCTTCAAACTGGCTCAGCTCCAGCTGCTGCGGACATGTGAGGAGTGAACCAGCGGATGGAAGACCTCTCTCTCTCTCTCTCTCTTTCTCTCTGTCTCTCTCTCGCTCTGCCTCTGCCTTTCAAATAAATCTTAAAACACACACACTCACACATTAGGGGCACTGTGGCACCGCAGGTTAAGCCAATGCTTGGGACAGCAGCATCTATCATCAAATTGCCAGCCTGAGTCCAGGCTAATCTGAACATCAGACCCAGCTCCCTGTTCATGCACCTGGGAGGCGCCAGCTGACAGCCCAAGTACTTGGCTCCTGCCACCCATGTGGGGAGTGACTGGTGGATGGAAGATTTTTCTCTCTCTGACACTCTGCCTTGCAAATTAAATCTTAAAAAAAAAAAAAAAAAAAAAAAAAAAAAAAAAAAAAAAAAAAAAAAAACCAACCACCACCACCACCAACAAAAACAAAAACACCATACATTAGTATAAATTAGGGCCCAGCACTGTGGTGCAGTGGGTTAAAGCCCTGGCCTGCAGCGCCAGCATCCCATATGGGCCCCAGTTCGAGTCCCGGCTGCTCCACTTGCGATCCAGCTCTCTGCAGCGGAGGATGGCCCAAGTGCTTGGGCCTCTGCACCGGCGTGGGAGACCCGGGTGGAGCTCCAGGCTCCTGGCTCCAGATCAGCCCAGCTCTGGCCAATGCAGCCAACTGGGGAGTGAACCAGCTGATGGAAGACCTCTCTCTGTTTCTCTGTAATTCTGCCTTTCAAATAAATAAATAAATAAATCTTAAAAAAAAAAAAAAAAAAAGTGGAGCAGCCAGGACACACACCCGTGGCCACCTGGGATGGGGGAGTCCCAGGCCAGCTTTTCCCGCATGCAGGCCCCCGGTACGTTGCTTCTGAACCAAGGCCAAGTGTCCTCCAGTCCCAGAGACTCCGCACTTGCTTCTCCCTCCTCCGGGGAGCCGCCTCTGGCCGTTCAGGTCTCTATGCAAACGAGAGGTCTACAAAACGGGAGACTCGGACCGTCAGGCCGCGGGGCACCTCGCAGACAACCTTTCCCGTCAGGTCCCCGCCCCCCCCACCCCAAAAGGTCATGGCGCCCTGGCTCTATAGCGCCGACTCCTTCTGAGCTCGCCATCCCGCCCTGCCGGGCCCGAAGTGGAACACCCTGGAACCCAGCAAATCCCACGCGCCACCTACCTACTCACGCTGCGGGCCGCGAACGCCGGCCCGGCTCCGTCTCGCCGCTGGGCGCCGCCATGTTGGCTAACAGAGCTTCCGGGTCACGGGGCCGCCTGCGAGACAGCAAATCACGAACGTGGGTTTCTGTAGGTCCCGCCCACATGTGGAGAAGCACCAATAGGAAGGAGAATCACCCGCTCCATGACGCGAGAGATCACGCCCCTAAGACGGCGAGAGGCTCCCGCGACCTGGGGACTCGGAAAGTCTGGGCGACCCGGGAAAGGGTGACGTGAACGGTCACCGTAGGGGCAGTGATGCTGGCTGTGTGCTCCTCAGGGTCCGCCAGAGCAGGCCGTGCCCGCGAGGGTGTGTCTGTGAGACACACAGCGAGTGGGTTCCTTGGGTGTGCAGCCCCCTATCCCCTACCCCCGTGTCTCAGGTCATGATGACACCGAGAGGGAGGAGCTGGACGCTCAGGTAGAGCAGGTGCCTCAGGCGTAATCGGGGGCCACGGCACGATGGCCACGGCTGTTCCTCCCTGTGGTTCTGAGTCCTGACTAATGGGCGGCTCAGCCTGCCTCTGTGTTCGGCAGCTTCGCCAGGTGCAGGGGGCGGGGCACTGGAAGGGGCGTGGCCTGACTTGTCCCGCCTCCTCTCTGCAATGCTCCACCCTGGGTCTGCGCTGCGCGGGGTGGGGGGGGGGGCAGGGGACCCCTTTGGGCAGCTTCTCTGCGTGAGATTGGCCCAGCTCAGGAGCCCCGAGGCAGCCTAGGCAGAGGTAGATTCGAGGCTCTGCCGCAGCACCCCCCTGGCTTGGTTAGAGCTACTCAGAGTGAGGACGGGCAGGCCCCCTGCCCCATTCAGCTCACAGACTTGGGCTCATGCCTCTGGCTATCTGCCCTGTGGTAAGTGGACTGCAGCTGGACGAGGCCGCAGTCACATTCACTCGGTCCTCTGCCCGCTTCTTATTTTTGTTTTGCACAAAAAGAAATTATATATTTGTTTGAGAGAGAGAAATCCCACCCGTTGTGGGAAGCTGTTCATTTGTCTTTTTTATTTTTTTTTCCTTGAAAGTCAGAGTTACAGAGAGAGAGAGAGAGAGAGAGAGGTCTTGCATCCACTGCTTCACTCCCCAAGTGGCCGTAATAGCTGGAGCTGAGCTGATCTGAAGCCAGGAGCCAGGAGCTTCTTCCAGGTCTCCCACGCGGGTGCGAGGGCCCAAGCACTGGGGCCATCCTCTACTGCTTTCCCAGGCCACAGCAGAGAGCTGGATCGGAAGAGGAGCAGCCGGGACTCGAACCAGAGCCTGCAAGGGATGCCAACACTGCAGGCGACAGCTTTACCCATTAAGCCACAGCGCCAGCCCCCTGATTTGTCTTCTATTCCTTATCCCAAGCATCAGAAACAGGGCCTGGAACCTTCTAGGCACCGAATAGTTGCTACTGCTACGACTACGACTAATAATAACAATAATAATAATAATAAAGGAATGGATGAGTTTCTGAGGCTTAGTCCATCTTTGAACACCTGTCCCTTCTTGCTTCTGCCTCTGTCTGTTCTTCTGGGATTATGAGCTAAGCCCATGGGCTGCCATCTGCGTAGCTGTGTATCCGCCCAGCCAGCGGCTTCCCCTTTCTCTCTGCAGACTCAGAATTGGCTGCTTTTCCTCACCAGTGGCTATGCCATCTTCCATCAGCCCCCAGCCCTTTGTCGATCCTGGGTACTGGGGTCTGAGTGCTTATGGAGGCCATCCTGCTCCTGTGACCTGGTCACGAGGGCAGTGTGTGGGGCTTGCATTGCTGGGACACCCTGTTGATTTCTGAAAGATTGATTTATTTATTTAAAGATGGAGTGACAGAGATCTTCTACCCATTGGTTCTCTCCCCAAATACTCATAACAGCTGGGCCCAGGCCAGGCTGAAGCCAGGAACTCCATCTGGGTTTCCCACGTGGTGTCAGGGACTCAAGTATTCGAGCCAGCATCTGCTGCCTCCCAGGCGCATAGCAGGAACCTGGACTGGAAGCAAGCACTCCCACGTGGATGCACGCATCTCACGTGCTGGCTTACCTCGCTGTTACAACAGCTGCCCTAAAAGTCTACTTTTAAAACCATGAGAGGGCCGGCGCCACGGCTCACTAGGCTAATCCTCCACCTTGCGGCGCTGGCACACCGGGTTCTAGTCCCAGTGGGGGCGCCAGATTCTGTCGGGGTTGCTCCTCTTCCAGGCCAGCTCTCTGCTGTGGCCAGGGAGTGCAGTGGAGGATGGCCCAAGTGCTTGGGCCCTGCACCCAACGGGAGACCAGGAGAAGCACCTGGCTCCTGCCATCGGATCAGCGCGGTGCGCCGGCCGCAGCGCACCTGCAGTGGTGGCCGTTGGAGGGTGAACCAACAGCAAAAGGAAGACCTTTCTCTCTCTCTCTCTCTCTCTCTCTCACTGTCCTCTCTGCCTGTCAGAAAGAAAGAAAGAGAAAGAAAGAAAGAAAGAAAGAAAGAAAGAAAGAAAGAAAGAAAGAGAGAAAGAGAAAGAAAGAAAGAAAAAGAGAGAAAGAGAAAGAAAGAGAGAAAGAGAGAGAGAAAGAAAGAGTTACAGGCGGGGAGGGGGGAGATCGTCCATCCTCTGTTTCACTCCCCTAATGGCTGCAACAGCCAGGGCTGGGCCAGACTGAAGCCAGGAGCTTAATCCAGGTCTCCCACGTGGGTGGTGGCAGGGGACGAAACACGTGGATCATCATCTTCCACTGATTTCCCAGCCGCGTTAGCACAGGAAATGGAGCAGCAGGGACTGGAACCTGTGCCCACATGGGTTGCCAGCGGCGGCTTTGGCCGCTAAGCCTCAAGCCGACCCCATTTCTTCCTCCTCGCAGCCTCTACGGCTCTGAGAACTGGCAAAGGGCCTGCAACGCACGTCACGAACTTGAGGATGCCGAAACGACTCTGCGCAGCCGCAGCACATCCGCCCCCACCAGGACTCCTGCGATTGGCCCATCTGAGAGGAGCTGTAGCCAATCAGCTGCCGGTCCAGAAGGGCGCGCGCTCCGGTCCAGAGGGCAGCGTCTGCGCGCGCTGCTGCCCCCTGCCGGGCGCCTGCAGGTACGCGCAGACTCCGTTCACTCTGCTCCCCGCGCGGCGAGGGCACGCGTGGGTGGCGATCGGGTCGCCGGCCGGGCCGCGTCTCTCTGAGCTCGCGATGCCTCCCCCGTTGAAGTCGTGGTGTCTTGTTTTCGTATTTATCGTCGACTTCCACATGTCTGTTAACACGGAGCAGAACGCTCCGCGTGGAGCTCGCCTCCGCGCGCGGTCCTCACGGTGACCACGGGGAACGGCAGCTCCGCAGTGGAGACACGCAGCCAAGGGACCGACGCGGACAGCATCGGCGGTGAGTCACGGTGACGTCCGTCATGGCGCTTCCCGGTGTGACGCAAGGAGGAGCAGGTCACCGTCATCGCCCTGGTATCCGTCCCAGGAATGCGAGCACCGGCGACGCGGTGTGCAGAGACCCCCGACCTGCAGCCCCGCCTCTGCCCAGCATCCGCCCCCCCGCCGCCTCTGCCCAGCCCCCTGCCTCTGCCCAGCCCCTCTGCCTCTGCCCAGCCCCCCCCCGCCTCTGCCCAGCCCCCTGCCTCTGCCCAGCCCCCCCCGCCTCTGCCCAGGCCCCCTGCCTCTGCCCAGCACCCCCCCCGCCTCTGCCCAGCCCCCCCCGCCTCTGCCCCAGCCCCACTCCGCCTCTGCCCAGCCCCCCCCCCCCGCCTCTGCCCAGCCCCCACGCCTCTGCCCCAGCCCCCCTGCCTCTGCCCAGCCCACGTCTCTGCCCAGCCCCACTCCGCCTCTGCCCAGCCCCCCAGTCTCTGCCCCAGCCCCCTACCTCTGCCCCAGTCCCCCTCTGCCCACCCAGGGTGGACAGGCAGCGCGGGTGGCCTTAGTGCCAGTGGGAGACCCAGTCTGGCTTAGCGCTGTGGTTGTGGGCATTTGGGGAGGGAACCAACCCATGAGAATCTCCCCTCCTCCCCCTCCTCTCCCTCTCCCCCTCTCCCTCTCTCCCCCTCCCTTCCCTCTCCCCTCCCTCTCACCTCCTCCCCTCTCCCCCTCTCTCCCTCCCCACCCCTTCCTCCCTCCCCACCCCCTTCCTCCCTCCCCTCCCCCTCCCTCTCCCTTCCCCCTCCCTTCCTCTCCCCTCCATCTCCCCCTCCCTTCCTCTCCCCCCTCCCTCTCCCCTCCCTCCTCTCCCTCTCCTCCTCCTCGCTCCCTCTCCCCCTCGCCCTCCCTCCCTCCCTCTCTCTCTTGTATCACTCTGCCCTGCAAATAAATAAAGAATTATTTAAAATAAAGAAGGATCCCCCCCCCCACACACACACCCCTCCACTGTCAGTCCCAAGGTGCTAGGAGATGACACGTGGGCGTGCGCTAGGCCTCAGCATCTCCAGGAGATGTGGACTGGAGGCCCAGGCCGCGCCCCCCCCCCCCCCCCCAGTGAGTGGTCTGAGAGGGCGGCACTGGGGGGATGGAACGGTGAGGGAGACAGGGAAACACTTCCTGTTCTTACAGATGACAGATAAGGAGCCCATGCCCACGGGCACTGTCAGGGCTGTGGGGAAAGGAAGGTGGAGAGAGACTGGCGGGGGCTCCTTGTTCAATCCTCCTTTTTAGGGGTGAGCGTGTGGGACGCCTGCACCCACACTGCAGTGCCTGGGTTGAGTCTGGCTTCGCTCCAGCGTCCTGCTCCCCGGGGGGCAGCAGTGATGTCACGGGTGCTGGGGTCCCTGCCAGCCACGTGGGAGCCCTGGGTTGAGTTCCTGGCGTCTGCCTGGTCCCTCACTGTAGGGGTGGGGGATGCCAGCGTCCTGAGACAGGTGGTCAGGGAGGGCTGCTCGGCAGAGGTGGCGTTTCAACAGCGGCCGTAGGAAGCGAGAGACGGAGGCCCCACAGACAGGTCTTGCCGAAATGTGGTTCAGAGCCGCTGGCCTGGAGCCGGCGCTGCGATGCAGCTGGCAAAGCTGCTGCCTGTGGTGCCAGCATCCCTCATGGGCGCTGGTTCGAGTCCCGGCAGCTCCCTGCTGTGGCCTGGGAAAACCGTGGAAGATGGCCCAGGTGCTTGGGCCCCTGCACCTGTGTGGGAGGCCTGGGAGAAGCTCCTGGCTTCAGCCTGGCCCAGCTCCGGCCGTTGCAGCCATCTGGGAAGTGAACCAGCAAATGAGATCTCTCTCTCTCTCTCTCTCTCTCTCTCTCTAGCTCTTTCAAACATTTAAAACAAAACAAACACTGCCAGTGTGGGGCTGGCCTTAGGGCTCAGTGAGCTAAGCTGCCCCCTTCCACGCCGGCATCCCATCATCGGTTCAAGCCCCAGCTGCTCCACTTCCTGTCCAGCTCCCTGCTGATGCGCCCGGGTGAGGCAGGGCAGGATAGCCGGGGTGCTAGGGCCCCTGCACCCACGTGGGAGACCCGGATGGAGCGTTGGGCTCCTGGCTTCAGCCTTGGTCCAGCTCAGAGACAGCCATTTGGGGAATGAGCCGGCAGATGGAAGTCTCTCTATCATTCTGCCTCTTAAAAAAAATTTTTTTTTAAGCTGGTAGTGCAGGGTTTTGAGAACTCCAGAAACAGCACCAAGCAGGGGGAGCGGCTTGGCCTCTTAGGAGTTTCTCCCTGGGAGATTAACAGATTATCTGTGCTTCGTGCAAACCCGGGTATGGAGGGAGCAGCCCTGGAACAAGCCATTAGGGATGACAGGCCAGGAGGCAGGTGCAGAATGGGGAGGGGCGGGGGCGGGGTCCAGTCTCTCCCCAGGATCCTCAGGTCGAGGTGGGTTTGGGTATCTTTTCTGAGCATCAGGATTCAGGGGGTCCTCTCAGGGTTCGGGGGAGGGGCGCCCACTTTTCCCCATGGCAGCATCCCAGAGCCGGCATCCCAGGAATCAGACAAACCCACAAAGCGCCACCCCCTCGGGGGACGCCCGGCTGCCCCATCGGGCGGGGGCGCGCCCCGAGCTCCCCTGCCCGCCCCGTCGTGCCTTGGCCGTGACTTCAGAGCCGGCGCGGATGCTATAAATGGCCAAGCGGCGGCCGGCCCGAGCTCGGGGCCCCGTGAGTCAGCGCTGGCGTCACCGCCGACCGAGCCCGCCAGGCCCCGCCCCCGCCCCGCCCCGGCCCCGGCCCCGCCCCGCCCCGGCCACCAGGGGGCGCCGGCCGCGGGCTGGGCGCAGGCGCGGGTCCTCGCATGCGCAGGAGAGACCTGTGGGAGAGACCTGTGGCGCTGGGCTGGGGCTGCGTCCCTGAGTCTGCGTGTTCGAATCCCGGCTCCGCCGCCTTCGAGTTTGTGCCGCCTGCACAGTCGGCTGTCACTTCTGTGTGACGCGCAGACGCTCACCTCCCGGGGCTGCTGGGAAGCGTGAGTTAACAGATCCGGGGCACTTAGTATATCCCGAGTGCGCATTTTGAACTCATTTTGTGTATTTCACTGTATCTTGAATCCATCGTGACCCACCATCAACTGGTCCTTGGCACACTGGCTTAACCCAGGGGCTTCCAGCTACTTCCCATCGCCTGGGACATTTAGCAATAGCTGTGGATATTTCTGTTTGTCACGACTTAAGGATGGGGCTAATCCTCCGCCTGTGGCGCCAGCATCCCATAGGGGCGCCAGTTCTAGTCCCGGCTGCTCCTCTTCCCATCCAGCTCTCTGCTGTGGCCTGGGAAAGCAGTGGAAGATGGCCCAGGTCCTTGGGCCCCTGCACCCGCGGGGGAGACCTGGAGGAAGCCCCTGGCTCCTGGCACCAGGTCGATGCAGCTCCAGCTGCAGTTGAGGCCATCTGGGGGAGTGAACCAGCAGAAGGAAGACCTCTCTCTCTCTCTCTGTCTCTCCCTCTCCCTGTCGTAACTAGAAGTCTAAAGGGAGTGCTGACGGGAAAGGCAGCGTTACACAGATTGATCTTCCATCCGCTGGTTCACTGCCCATAGCCACCACCACCGGCACTGGGTGAGGGGACGCCAGGAGCCGGGAGCTCCAGCTGGGTCTCCCAGGGGGTGGGAGGCAGGCACTGAGGCGCCGGGGCCATCGCCTGCTGCTCTCCCGGCTCCGTTAGCAGGGAGCTGGATCAGAAGTGGAGCGGCCGGGACTCAAAACTGTGAGACGTGATGCTGGTGTCACAAGAAGTACTTTAACCCATTTTGCCACAATGCCAGCACCCAAGGGAAGCTTCTGGACGGCCCGTGGCACCCAGGACAGACAGCCCCCAGCCTCGACTCCCAACAGTGCCCAAGTTTGAGAAACCCAGCTCTACCCTGGGGCAGCTGGGTGGCCCCGTGCCTCAGTTTCCCCTTCTGTAAAGTGCGTGTAATTACGGCATCCGTCTCAGGACTGAGTGGGTAGGACAAGGTCTGATTTCAGGGTGTGGGTTTTGTGCACCTGCGTCCCCATCTCGGAAGCCCCAGTTCCTGTCCCGGCTGCTCTGCTTCCGATCCAGCTCCCTGCGCATGTGCACCCGGGGGGGGGCAGCAGGTGTGGGCTCAAGTTCTCGGGCACCTGCCACCCCAAGTGGGAGACCTGGGTGGAGCTCCAGGCTCCTGGCTTTGGCGTGGCCCAGCCCTGGCTGTTGTGGGCATCTGGGGAGTGAACCAACCAATGGAAGATACCTCTGTCTGTCTGTCTGTCTGTCTCTTCCTCTCCCCCGCCCCGCCCCCATCACCCTGTCTTTCGAATCAATAAGTATTTTTTAGAAGAGGGTCTGATGGCCCATGTGGGAGACCCAGATGGAGCTCCTGGCTCCTGGCTTCACATTTGCGAAGCTCCAGCCATTGTGGCCATCTTGGGAGTGAACTGGCGGATGGAAGACCTCTCTCTCTCTCTCTCTCTCTCTCTCTCTCTCTCTCTCTTTCTGCCTCTCTGTAACTTCGCCTTTCAAATAAAATAAATAAATCTTTGGGAAAAAAAAAAAAAGCTCCTGTGTTCCGTGTCCCCAGGTACCAAGACCAGAGCCTGGCACACAACAGGTGCGCGTGATGCTTGTGGCGTGGACTTGGGGGCGGGGGCTGTGACCTTGGCATGTCAGGAGCGTGTGGCAGGTTGTTGACGTCCAGCTGCCCCTGGCATGGCCTTGGTGTGGGGGGTGCGGTGTGGGTGCAGCGTTACCCCCGTGGTACAAGATGAGACTCGGGGACAGCGCTCCGCGGGGGCGCTTGTGGCCGGGGACCTGGTAATAGAAACACTCGGTGGCTCAGGTGAGCACAGGTGCATGGAGGGGGCAAGAGCCAAGATGTCTGCTCCCCCAGGTCCTTAGGAGGAGCCGGACCTGGACTGCTGGACCTGCTACAGAGTAATGCTCCTGCCTGAGCCGCTGCCCGTGCCGGGCGCTGCGCTGGGGACACTGCAGGGACACCGTGCCGCCTGCTTCTCACAACACCCCCCATGAACCCATTTCACAGACGCAGCAGTGGAGGCCCGAGAGGTCAAAGGATTTGACTGAGGCACGACTGTTGGTGTTTGAAATGAGGGGGCTGCTTGCTATGTCAGCATGGGTGGCGGTCTTGCCTCAAGCCCCAAAGATGACCTCGGATACAGAGACTTGGAGACCGGGCCCCAGGGCAGGTGGGGGGGTGCAGTGGGGGCAGCGGTGGAGGAAAGCTGGTCTCTCTGGCCAGGACCCCCCCACACACACCCGGAATAACGCAGGCTGCCCCTCGAGGTGGAAACAATGACATAGTCAGCTCCCAATACCAAGCCCCTGACATCACGAGGGAGGGGGGTGGCCGCGGGTGGGGGGGGGGAGGCGCCCCGCCCCGCCCCCTTGCCAGCCCCTGCGGCCAATGGGACGGCCTTGGAAGAGACCCGGGCCGCCTCCGGAGCTTCAAAAACCTGTGAGGAGCGGAGAGGGTGCAGACGGAGCCTCAGCTGCCGCCGCCCCCGCTCCTCGGCGTCCAGGCTGCGCCCAGCCAGAGCCCACCCGCTGCCATGTCCTCTGCTCACTTCAACCGAGGGCCCGCCTATGGGCTGTCGGCCGAGGTCAAGAACAAGGTAGGGCTGCAGGGCCTCCCTGGCCTGGCCCACGTGCCCTGCGTCCCCCCACCCCCCTGCCTGCCCCATGTGATCCGGAACCTGAGAGGGGAAGGGGCAGAGGCTTGGGGTAGGGGTGGGGGCTGCCTCTCTCCTCCTTGTCAGCACCCCAGAACCCTCAGCTGTTATCAGGAGGGGCACAGCGGGGGGCCCACGGTCACCCCGAAACAGAGGTGTGCGGCCCACCGTGGATGGGAGGCCTGTGTGAAACCTGGGTGCCCCGATGGGGTTGGAAGGGGGAGGCCTGTTGATTTTTCCACACCCCCCCCAGTTGGACCAAGAAATTGGGGAGCACTGGAGAGGCCAGGCTCCCAGCGAGGCCACCTGAGGGGAGAGGGACACGGCTGGGGGTGGGGGGCGGAGGGCAGAGGGCTCCCAAGTGCAGAGGTGAGAACACGCTGTGATGCCACCACCGTCATGCTAGGGATGGGTACACGGAGCCTCTGAGGATGAACAAACAGCTAGCGGCCAAGGTCGGGCAGGTGCACTGCTAGAGCCGGAGTCTCCAGGGCAGAGACCCCGAATTCCCCACCCCGCTGCAATCGTCCCCGCCCCCCAGCCCCATTTCACAGAGAGGAACACTGAGGGTCAGGGTGGCTCTTCCCCAGGGTCCCGCAGCGAGGAACCCGGGAGCTGGGATTGGTACCTAGGTCGGTGGGTCTCGTTGGGGCTGGCGGAGGGGGCGGATGCTTGGGCTGCAGACAGATCCCAGCGCCACCCCCCTCCTCCCCCCCTCCCAGTGCCGGCCCCAGAGCCTCGCGGAGCCGCCAAGCCATATAAGGCGGCCTTGGGAGTCCGGCCACGCTATATAAGGGCCGGTTTGCTTTATAAAGCTGGGCTGGTGGGGAGGGGGGCGGCAGGGCCGGGGCCAGGTGAGGGGGCCGCTCCCTCCCCCGGCTCCCCGTCCAGCCTGGAGAAGGGGCAGCTGGATGCCCCCTGTCCCCAGAGCAGAACGTTCTGGATAAACGGGAGGTGGAGACAGAGATGCCGGGAGCTGGAGGCTCGGATGGAGGGGCGGGCGGGCGGGGAGCGGGATGAGACGGGGACAGGGATGCAGGGGCACCGGCTGGCACCCAGACCTGCCCCACCCTCAGGGGATGCCAGGAAGCTGGAGTTAAGGCGGGAGAGGGGGACCTACAGGGACAGAGATGCTGGAGCCCCACCCCCAGCGTGATGGAGACGGGGGGGGGGGGGGAGACTGACGCAGCTGGGGGAGAGAGAGCCAGCCAGACGGACGGACAGACTGACGGATGCCCAGTGGGTCAAGAGCCAAAGGCAAGAAGATGCCCCCACCCCCCTCGCCCGGGACGCAGTCCCAGGGGCCAGGATCTTGGTGGGGGTGGTGGGGGACAGTGAGAGACAGCCAGCCAGAGATGTAAGACAGAGCAGTCCCCTGTCAACCAGCGGCACCAGGCACCTCCCGCGCTCCCCTCCTCCCCATCCGTCTGCTGTGCCCCCTCTTCCCACCAGGGGGAGCGAAAAGGGGCAGGGCCAGGGGAAAGCTAAACCCCAAGTTTGGCCTGGAGGGGGAACCAGGAGGCCAGGCGCCGCCTCCTCGCCCCCCCTCCAGCCCAGCTCCGAGGACCTGGCTCTGGGCGCCTGCCCCCTTTTGTCTCTCCTCCGGTGCCAAACCTCAGAATGCCCGGAATGGCCCCCTGGGCAGGTGCCACCCCAGCCCACCCGCCCCCCTCCCTGGGCGTGGGGGCAGAATCGCCTTAGTTGGTCAGGAAAAGCCGGGGCTGAGGGAGGCTTGGGTTGGACACCCAGAGCCAAGGCCTCCACTCCCCCCGCCGCCCGCCCTGTGTCCCCCACCCCCAGCTGGCCCAGAAGTACGACCACCAGCGGGAGCAGGAGCTGCGGGAGTGGATCGAGGGCGTGACGGGCCGCCGCATCGGGAACAACTTCATGGACGGCCTCAAAGACGGCATCATCCTCTGCGAGTGAGTGGGGGGCCCTCGTGGCCCAGCCCCTGCCTGCCTTGTGCTGCCCCCAACCCTCACCCATCTCCACCCTCCACAAGTGACTGCGCCTGGAGCTGAGCCAGTCGCTTTCTATCCAGTGTGAGAGCGTTCTTCGGGGAGTCGAAGGATCATTGTGCCCGTTTAACAGGCCAGGCAGACTGAGGCTGGGTCAGCTGACACATTGCCTCGCTATTCCAGTGGGAACAGCTGCAGACTTAGCCGCTGTGCTGCCTGGGGCCTATCCCCCTGACGGCCTCCAGAGACCCAAGAAAGGGAGGTCACCACGAAAACGCGCAGGGTCACCAGTGGGCCCTCATGACTTTGCGGCCCCCCTGAGCCCAGCCAGGCCCGATCTGCACAGGGCAGGGTGACCATGAGGGCCAGAGCGTGTCCTTGGGAAGCTTACGGAAGGCAGGGGCTGTGCATCTTGGTCCGTCCCCGTTCACCGGGAACGAGGACCAAGGAGGACACATTGGTGACTTGGGCCTGGGGGGCTGTGCAGGTCTCAGACACACAGCCCCCGCCCCCAAGTCCACACCACAAGCATCAAGCATCACGCGCACCTGTTGTGTGCCAGGCTCTGGTCTTGGTACCTGGGGACACGGAACACAGGAGCTTTTTTTTTTTTTTTCAAAGATTTATTTATTTTATTTGAAAGGCGAAGTTACAGAGAGGCAGAGAGAGAGAGAGAGAGAGAGAGAGAGAGAGAGAGAGAGAGAGAGAGAGGTCTTCCATCCACCAGTTCACTCCCAAGATGGCCACAATGGCTGGAGCTGAGCAGATCTGAAGCCAGGAGCCAGGAGCTCCATCCAGGTCTCCCACATGGGTGCAGGGGCCCAAGCACTTGGGCCATCTTCTGCTGCTTTCCCATGCCACAGCAGAGAAGTGGATCGGAAGTGGAGCAGCCGGGATTCAAACAGGCTCCCACAGGGCATGCGGGCACTACAAGTGGAGGTTTTACAAGTCCCTGCAGGGAGCTTTTGTGGTGTGGCGGGGGGGGGGGGGGGGGGTGAGGTGTCAATTGACTGATCAAACTCACACACCTGCCTGAAGTGGTACCTGCTGTGGGGAAGGTGGGGGGAGGGGGACAGTAAACAAGTCTGGGAGGAGGTGCCAGGGGAGAGGCTCAGGCTGCAGGGACATCCTGGGCACTCGGGCGCCTCAGTGGCCTTTCACAGGTTGGACGAGATCAAGAAGGGATGAGTGTGGTCAGAGGAGAGGCCCTTCGGGGCTCCCTGCTGTGTCCACACCACTACAAGGACCCTGGGACATGGCAGCCCCCGCCAGCGGACTGGGATGTACTGCGATAAGGAGACGTAGTCTAGCGCCCTCTACAGGCCGCGGCTGGTTCCCCATGTTTCCTATGTGGGGGTGCATAGGGTAACTTGCGGCAGGGGTGGGGGCCCTGAGAGCTACGAAGGCGACTGCCAGCTTGAGCCCCTTCCGTGCTGGACTGGCCATGGGTGTGAACGCTGGGGGCCGCCGCTCACTCCCCTCCCCCGTCCCCAGGTTCATCAACAAACTCCAGCCAGGCTCCGTGAAGAAGGTGAACGAGTCGAACCAAAACTGGCACCAGGTGGGCCCCTCCTCCGCCCCTTCCGCGCCCCGGCCCCCGCCCCCGCCCCCGCCCCCGCCCCGCTGACCACCGCCCCCCGCCTCGCTCCCCAGCTGGAAAACATTGGCAACTTCATCAAGGCCATTACCAAGTACGGGGTGAAGCCCCACGACATCTTCGAGGCCAACGACCTGTTTGAGAACACCAACCACACCCAGGTGCAGTCCACTCTGCTGGCCCTGGCCAGCATGGTGAGTGTCGGTGCCGGGTGGACGCCCCGCTGAGCCCAGTGTGGGTGTGGGGGAGACAGCGGGTGCAGCCTGGGGACCTCCCGGCCCTGTGCCTGCCCCTCTCGCCCCAGGCCAAGACGAAAGGAAACAAGGTGAATGTGGGGGTCAAGTACGCGGAGAAGCAGGAGCGGAAGTTTGAGCCAGAGAAGCTTCGGGAAGGGCGGAACATCATCGGGCTGCAGGTACAGCCGCTGCCTCCCGGTCCTGCTGCCGGCGGAGCTCTCTGGGGGGCCGGCGTTTGGCGTGGTGGTGAAGATGCCCACTGGGGTGCACGGAGGGCCTGGGTTCGAGTCCCCTGCTCTGCCCCTGACCCCAGCTTCCTGCCAGTGCACATCCTGGGAGGCACTGGGGGATGGCGCAAGTGCTCAAGTCCCTCCCTGCCGCCCACCTGGGAGGCCCGGAGTGGGTACCTGGGTCCCGGCTTCTGCCTGTTGCAAGCATTTTATTTATTTATTTATTTTTTTCAAATTAATTTATTTGAAAGGCAGAGTGACATGGGAGAGGGCAAGGGCGAGGTCCTCCATCCGCTGGTTCACTCCCCCAAAATGCCCTCAAGGGCCGGGGCTGGGCCAGGCTGCATCCGGGTCTCCCGCATGGGTGGCAGGGGCCCCAGCACTGCTGCTTTGCTCCCAGGCGCATCGGTGGGGAGCTGGATCAGAGAGGGGCAGGCGGCACCTTCACCCCGCTGCACCACAAGGCTGGCCCCGTGGCAGGCATCGCGCGTGGTGGTGGTTGTGGGGGGCAGGGGTGGGATGAACCAGCAGAGGGGAGATCTCTCTCTCTCTCTCTGCTTCTCAAATAAAATTTAAAGAATTAATCTCGGGGCTGGGCCCTGTGCCTTTGGTCCTCACCTCCTGGCCTCGCAGATGGGCACCAACAAGTTCGCCAGCCAGCAGGGCATGACGGCCTACGGCACCCGGCGCCACCTCTACGACCCCAAGCTGGGCACGGACCAGCCCCTGGACCAGGCCACCATCAGCCTGCAGATGGGCACCAACAAGGGAGCCAGCCAGGTGGGTGGAGGGCCACAAGGGCGCCTCCCGCAGCCCCCTGCCCCCGCGGCCTGAGCGCGCCCCGCCCTGTCGCCCCGCAGGCCGGCATGACGGCCCCCGGCACCAAGCGGCAGATCTTCGAGCCGGCGCTGGGCATGGAGCACTGTGACACGCTCAACGTAAGCCTGCAGATGGGGAGCAACAAGGGCGCGTCGCAGCGCGGCATGACGGTGTACGGGCTGCCCCGCCAGGTCTACGACCCCAAGTACTGCCTGACGCCCGAGTACCCCGAGCTGGAGCCCGCCCACAACCACCACCCCCACAACTACTACAACTCTGCCTAGGGCCTCCCCGCCCGCCGCGCCCCGCTGCTCGAGGCTGGACCCAGCCGGGCCCCGCCCGCCCCTTCCCCCTGCATGGCGTCCTCCAAGCCCCTGGCACCTGCCTACAGGGTTAGCGTTGGGGGACAGCAGACTTGGGGGGGTGGGGGGAGGAGATCTGTGGGAGTGGGGGGGAGAGGGGCTGCAGGCTTTGTCGCCAAGCTGGGTGTCCCCCAATAGCAAAGCTGTTCCAGCTGTCCCCCGACTCCCTCACAAGTGGGTACCCCCACCCCCGCCCCCAGCGGCTCACCCCAGCGAAGCCCTCCCCGCCCCGGAGCCCAGGCTAGGCCCGCCCCCGCCCCCGCCCCTGCCCCCGCCCCATGGCCGCAGCAGGAGCAAACTGCACTCGCAGAGGCGCAGCGACCTGCATGAGCGGATGTGACAGCGGCGTTTGTGACGCGAGCACTTTGTTGTTGTTGTTTTTTTCTATTTCACTGGAGCACAATAAATGGCTGTCAAATCACACAAGGCCCCGGGGCTGCTCTGTGCCTGGGGCGCGTGGCCCTGTGGCCAACGCGGCCCCTCACGCCCACGCCCACGCATACGTACCCCCCCCCCCACACACACAGGACGCCCGCACACCTCTCTCGGGTCCTGTGGCTCCTCTTGCAGGGAGCGGCTCCGTGGCTCTGGACAAATCTCTGCCCTGGGCTGGGCTGGGACCACTGGGGAGATCCAGGCACTCACGATGGCCCGGCGGCCAGGCAGAAGCCTTGAGCCCCGGATTCTGGGGGCTGGGGTGGGGCCGGGGGATGTTGGGGGAGTGGGAGAAGGAAGAGGCGGAGGATGGAGGCGCCCAGGCCATGCTGTCTGGAAGCTGCCCAGTGTCAGGGCTCCAAGCAGAGGATGTGCAGACGTGGGGGGGGGGGGGCAGGGGTCAAGGCTGGAATGTGGGGGAGACCTGCGGAGCCGCGCAGGGCCCCCGGGCCCGGCTGTCGGGATTCCAGGCGCTCTTGGCCCGGCTGCTGTGAGCCCTTCTCCCCCAGGGCTGCTCGGGGAAGCTATGCTGAGGATTCCTGCCTGGCCCGGGGCCCTGCCTCGTGGGGAAAACAGCACCATATTAGCACTCGGCCTGTCCCACCGGGCAGCGAGGGCCTTGGAGGCTGCAGGCATGAGCCCCTTCCTGCCAGACTCCGGGGGAACGCCCCGTCAACCCAGGCGCCTGCTTCCTGCCCCAGCCAGGGGACGTCACCTGGGGTCTCGGGACGGGGAGGGGTGGGCTGCAGGGAGCACAGGGCAGACCCAGCAGCCCGGCCTGGTGACCAGAGCCTGGTGACAAGCACCCGGCAGGTGCAGGAGCTGGGTCTGCCCAGGCTGCTGGGGGTCTGGGATCCTGTGACCCACGAGACCCCCTGAGGACAGACGCAGCCCCCAGGGGCTCGCCATCAGCCTTGGGGGCCCCGCCCCGCACTCCAAAACTTCTCCACACCCCTGCGGCTTCCTGAAGCCCCTCCCCTGCTCCCGCATCCCTCAGACTGGACCCCCGGTCTGCTAAGATCGTGGCTGAGCAGCCACGTTCCTGGGTCTTGGCTCTGTGGCGCCACCTGCTGGACATAAGGGCCTGGGCCAGTGACCCCCACCGTCCTGCAGGTCTGGAGGGTTTTGGTGCACTCCAGAGGCAGGCAAGCACGGGCCATTGAGCGCCACCTCTGCAGGCAGCCCTCTAAGAAGGCTCCCCTCACCACCTTCATTCTGCCCCGTTTCCCACTGTGAGCGCCTGGCCATGGGGGCCCCTGCACCCAGCAGCGCCCAGGTCCCCCTGAGCACTTAGAGAGCAAACACGACACAGGACAGCTTCAAGTCCTGGCAAGCCCCACGCATCTGAGCACAGCCCCTCCCTCCTCTCGTGCCGCGGCAGGTGCACACCCCAAGAAGTCAGGAATCTCCATCAGCGCCTTTTATTTAAGGACTTGTGACTGACGGCTGTCCCCACCCCAGCCCCTGCCTCCTCTCAAAAGCTACTGAACGGGAAATGGGGCTTCCAGGGCGGCACAGGGGAGCCGGCTCCCTGCCCCGCTGGGCCCAACAAGGGACTGGAGAATGGGGGCTGTGGAGCCTGGGCCACAAGCACCGGGATGGGGGGAGGGGGGATGAAGGGGGAGGGGGATGGAGGAAGGAGGGGGAGGGAGAGCCCGGCTCGGAGGGGCCAGGTGCTGGTGAGGCAGCCACGGAGGCTACAGAGCTCCCACCCCGGGTCTGTGGGCTTCCCCTGCCCACTGAGGAGCCAGCGCCCCAGAGCCTGGAGGCGGAGAAAGGGGAGGGTCAACGGCTCTAGGGGCCAAGTGAGGCCAGTCCGGGCCCTCGGGCCCTGCAAGCCCTCAGCTCGAGCCGCACGGCAGGGCCAGCCTCGTGGCCACCCATGCCCACCGTGCGCGCACACACACACAGTCACACACACGGAGGGCGGTAGCAGCCCGGACCCACACCCCGGACCCCTGGAATGTCTCTGGATGAGTCTGCGGCAGGCAGCCCGCCGAGGGGGGTGGGTCCTCTGTGTGGCTACTGATTGGCCGCCTCGCAGGCGTCTATCCAATCGCTGTACACGTCCACTGGTTCTGACAGATCTGAAACGCGGGGGTCAAGGGCGACCGGTGGCGGTGGCCACTGTTCCCTCCCAGGCACCTGCACTGCTGACCCCAATGTCAGCCAGGCCCCTCCCACTGCGTAGCTGAGGCCCTGCACCTGCACACACAGCAGGGCCAGGTACCCCCTGAGCCCACCCTGGGCTGGGCAGCCCTGCCTGCCCACCCGTCCCCACCAAACAGCCCGTTTTCCAAGGATACATGTGATGGGTGTCTGGAATTCTTCTAGGCACACGGTACAAGAGATGACTCCAGTGTTTCGGGCACGGTCCCTGGAAGGGGGTGGGGGCGGGGGGCTGGTGAGTGAAGGAGCCCCGCACCTGTGGCGGTAACCCCAGACCCCCGACCCCAGCCAGGGAGGCGCGGGGAGGCCTGGGTGCCCCAGCCCCCACTCACATTTTCACGTCACAGGACTTCTCATGGTTACAGAACGGGCAGGTGAACTGGGTCTCCAGGGTGCCCGTCATCTTCTTCTTGGGGGGCGGCTTCCGCTTGGACTTCCGGCGTCCCATGTCCGCGGGTGGGTGAGACTGTGGGGGTGGGGGAGGGTGGGCGTGAGGGGGGCTTGCAGCACCCGGGAGCCCACCAGCTGCGGGATCCAGGAAGCAGGCTGGGAAGAGGGCCTGGCAGGGCCCCAGGGTGGTTTAAGGGCTGCGGGGGGGGGGGGGGGGCCCTGGCTGTAACCCCGCTCCCGCACTGATCTGTGACCCCGCCCATGTGTAAGATAGAGAGGCTGTGGGACTCCCAGGAGGAAGACACAGGCACTGCGCTGGGCTCTGGTTCCGTCCCCCCAGGGGTCACGTGCTGGTGCCCAGCCTGGTGGGGCGGGGGGTACCAGGGTTGCGGCGCAGTGGGAGTGTAAGCCATTGGCATCCCATCCCAGAGCGCTGCTTCCGATCCAGCTCCCTGCTCAAGTGCCTGGACAAGCAGCGGAAAATGGCCCCCAAGTGCTTGGTCCCCCGCCACCCACGTGGGAGACCCGGATGGAGCTCCTGGCTTCAGCCTGGCCCAACCCCGGCTGCTGTGGCCTTTAGGGGAGTGGACCAGCCATTCGAAGATCTTTTCCTCTGTCACTCTGCCATTCAAATAAATGAAATAAATCTTCCCCCAAAAGGGGTGTGTGTGTGGAGGGGCAGGCACATGCCACATAGGAACGCCTGGTTTTAGTCCTGGCTCCTCCACTCCTGATCCTGCCTCCTGCTAACGCACACCCTGGGAGGCAGGGGAAGACGGCCCAACTACTTGGGTCCCTACCGCCCATGCCGGGGACCCGGGTGGAGCTCCAGGCTCCTACATTCAGCCTGGCCCAGCTCTGGCTGTTGTGGGCATTTGGGGGAGTGAACCAGCAGATGGAAGATCCGTGTGTCTCTCTTTCAAATCAGAATGAAAATAATGCAAAAAAAAATCAGCAGGTGGCACCTTTAAGAGGCAGGCTTGGGGGAGGTTCCTGGGTCACTGAGGGCTCTGCCCCGGATAGGAAGGGAGTGCCAGCCTCTGGAGTGAGTTCTGGAAGTCTCTCTCCACTTCCTGCACAGCCCAGGCACCCACCACGCACCCCGAGGCCCTCAACAGAGCCCGCACCACTTGTCGCCTCCAAAACACTGAGCTAAGTGAATCTTTCTTTATAAAAGGAGCCTGTCTCCGGCATTTTGTATATTTGAAAGAGCAACCATGCGCCTCCATCTGTTCTCATCCCCCCACAAGGTGGCCAAAACAGCCAGGGCCGTGCCAGGCACCAGGAACACCACCCAGGTCTCCCACGCGGGTGGCAGGGGCCACAGCACTTGGGTTATCGTCTGCTGTTTACCCACGCCCCTTCGCGGGGAGCTGCATCAGAGGCGGAGCAGCCAAGACTCCGACTTCGAGAGCCGCCGAGCCACATCGGCCCCCTCCCCATTTTGTTAACAGCTCCGAAAGGCTGAACAGTGACACAGGAGGGCCAGCCGGCGGCAGAGGGGCCAGCCGGGCCAAAGCACTAAGCCCCTGATGGTGGCCGCTCCTCTCGTGTGACACCCAGGTCCCACCAAACAAGGAGGGCGCGCGGGGGATGGGCCGCCTCCACAACGGCACGTGCGAGAGTGGCGCCGGGGGCGGGCAGGGGGCTTCTGCGTGCTCAGCAGGACCCCAGAGGCCACAGGGGGGCGAAGGGAGGGAAGGGCTGAGGGCGGGTACAGGACCCAGGAGCCTGGGCGGAGGTAGAGTTGGAGCGGGACAGGGCGGGGGGGACTGGGGTGGATGTATGTATTTACTTGAAAGGCAGGTATAGAGACAGAAAGTGGTATCTTCCATCTGCTGGTTCACTCCTCAAATGGCCACAATGGCCAGGGCTGGGCCAGGCCAAAGCCAGGAGCCAGAACTCCATCCGGGTCTCCCACGCGGGTGCAGGGGCCCAAGCAGTTGGCCCATCCTCCACTGCTCTCCCAGGTGCATTAGCAGGAGCTGGATCAGAAGCGGAGCAGCCGGCACTCGAACTGGAGTTGCAAGCAGTGGCTTTACCAGTGACGCCACAATGCCACCCGACCCTCCCCAGCTTTTCAAATAAAAAAAGGAAAAAAAAAAAAAAACCAAAACAGAAAATGTCATGGAAAAATGAAAGTAAAATTTTATTTTGAGGCAAAATCTTTTGAAGCCAATGCAGTTTTGTTCATAATATGTATTTTTCATGAAGTTTTAAAAGACCCTCTCCTAGGCAAGGATATAAAAAAATTTTTGTACCAAAATAAGCTCACCTTTTACAATTTCATTTTAATTCATTTATTTGCAAGGCAGAGTTACAGAGTTACAGAGAGACAGAGGGAGAGGGAACTCACCAAACAGCTGCAACAGCCAGGGCTGGGCCGGGCCAGAGCCAGGACCCAGGAGCTCCATCCGGGTCTCCCACGTGGGTGGCGGGGGCCCAAGGACTGGAGGTCACCTGCCTCCTTCCAAGCACATTAGCCGGGAGCTGGATCCGAAGTGGAGCAGCCGGGACGCCACCGGCACCGGCACTGGGATGCCGGGGCCCCCAGTGGCGTCTTAACCCCTGTGCCGCAGCGCCCGCGCCAATCAACTCTTTCACTCCATTTCCCACCAACTCTCGTGTGTTTCCAACAAGAACAAAGCGTGGCTCTGCCCTGGACCCCCTCTCTTTTTCCATCGGCAGCATCCAACCTCCCAGCTGCCCCACGTCACTTACAGGGCCCGGGCCAGGCCGAAGCCAGGAGCCAGCAACTCCGCCCTGGCCTCCGGGTGGGAGGCAGGGGCCCCAGGCCCCAGGGCCATCAGCAGGGACTGGATCGGAAGCAGAGCCAGCGGGGACTGGAGCCGGCGCCTGGATACGCCATGCCGGCATCTTAGCTCCAGCTCCACTCTCTGCACCACAACGCCCGCCCCTCTGAAGGCGTTCTCCAACACACGGCTGCCTCCCTGGGTCCCTGGTCCCCCAGCAAAGAGACAGGGGGCTCCGCCACTGCCCACCTCCTTGGAGTGGGGCACTGGGCACACGGGACCCTTCCACCCTCCCCGTGTGGCTCTCAGGACCCCACAGCGCCCACCCCCTACCCCGGTGACGGCCACACCCACCACTCCGAGGTAACCCGTCCACACCGGAGCTCCCAGCGCCTAAGTCTGCCCCATCTCAGCTGACAGCA